CCCCGGATGGGCGGGCGCTGGCGGAGCCGGCTCTGAGCGCGGGGGGTAGGGGGGAGAGGGAGGGCCAGTCCCGCTCCGGCCGCCGGAGGCTCCGCGTCTTCCGCAGCCCAGCCCCGCCCCGCCGGCGCCCTGACAGCATCGCCGGGACCCGGATGGGGCCGCACTCCAGTGCCCGGATGGAGCCGCACCGCGCAGCCGGAACCGCTTCCTGCCGCGGTGCAGGGGGTCTCCTCCACCCGCCGCCCCTCCACCGCCACAGCAGCGGAGCTGCAGGGCCGGGGCGCGGCCCCTCCGCGGCCCAGGCGGTGCCGCCGCCAGCAGCGGGCGGCTGCCCCGGATCCAGTCCCAGCCGCCGTTTCCTGCTCCCGCCCCGCCTCACCATAGAGATGACAGGCGCTGCGCGGACCGCGGGGCCTGCCGGGAAGGGAGCGGCGTGCCTCGGCCTCGCGGCTTAGCCGGCCGGCGGCGGCGCCAAGCCTAAGGGAGCGCGCGGGCCGCCGCCGCCATCATGTCGGGAGGCAGCAGCGCCGGCGAGTGGTGCCTCATGGAGAGCGACCCGGGCGTCTTCACGGAGCTCATCAAGGGCTTCGGTGAGGGAGAAGCGGTGGCCGCGGCTGTTCCCGCGTGGGTGCAAGACCAGCCCGCCCGCCGCGCCCGCGGGGCGCTGCCCGGTTTCCCGGCCTAGGGCATGGGACCGCGGGCCCCGGCGGGCTGAGCCCGGGCCGGGCGGGGAAGGGGACGTGGGGCTCGGCGGAGGGGAGGCTCGGGCCGAGGCCCGGCGCGCCGCGCCAGCGGAGCGAGCGCTGCCGCAGGGGTGCGGGAGTGCCGCGAAAGGTGCTGCTGTGGAAGCTGGCAGCGTGGCGGTAAGCGGACGCGAGTGGGAATGAACGCGCTTCTCGTGACCTCTGCGCGGCTGTCCCGGCCTCGGGCCGACCTGGCAGTGCCGTACTTCCCAGCAGCCCGCACGTATGCACCGCGGGCAGCGGCCGGCCTCTCGGCGGAGGGGAGCTGTGAGGCCCCCGCCCCGGCCCGGGGTGATCCCGGTTTCAGGGCGGTGGGTGCCTAGTGGCAGGGCGGGCAGGAGCCCGTCCTATCAGCAAGGGCACGCGTACCTTCTGCCGGAGAGCTTGATAAGTGCATGCCGCGTAGGGGAGAATCCCAGCGCTTGCAGAGGGCTAGATACGTGTTTCGGTCCTGTGCCAGCTGACTCGGTTACAAAGCCTCCAGGAGAGAGGATGTTACAGACGAGAAAGGGCTGTGAGCACGCTGAACTGTGGTGCTTGGCAGTAGGCAGGGTAGCCTGGAAGGGGCTGCTTTGGCTTTTAGAATATTAAATTTTATGTTGAGTTGCATTTAATATTTTCGGCAATACTGTGCTCGTATGATTATAACAACAGAGAAGTCTGCACAGGATTTTGGCCAAAGAAGCAAAATGATTTTATGCTAGGTTATATTGATTTATAATTTCTGTCACGATTTTTTCCCAGAAGTGACGACCAGGCATGCTTCTACTTTTGTGTTTCTATTGAACTAATAGATTAATCTTCCATGTACTAAGTATTTGAAGTTTTGGGGCTCTTAGGCAAACATCTTGCTTAAGTGTATTGTTTATGGTATTTTCAGTCTACTAATATGGGTCTTTCTCTGGAGCTAAGTGTTTTAAGTTCTGCTTTGGACTAGCTGACAATGTCTTTAAAAACAGCAAAGGACATGAGGTGATGAAAGATATGCTAATCTCCTCTGCTTCTTTTTTAAATGCATCTGTGTTATAAAGACAACATCACCATACACAGGAGAAATTCCTGAAATAATTTCTCTTGATTTGTCTTGTTTGTGTTTGTAGTGAAGGTGCGTTAAAGCCTGTAAATGGACTTTTCCATAACCTCGGCATACAAGTTGTAAAAGTTACCATAGTTCTTTCATGTGTCTGTCTTTACTGGCTGTGTCCCTTTTAGATGGGGTAGTTGAAGAAACCTGTATCTTTCCTTGTTTCAGGTTGTAGAGGAGCACAAGTTGAAGAAATATGGAGTTTGGAATCAGAGAACTTTGAAAAATTGAAGTAAGGCACTTTTCTAATCTGCATGGTTTTTATTCACATTTGTCTGAAGTCACTGAAAGAATGTGTACTAAACTCAGGTGGCTTTTTGGTGGTAGTTTTTTGTTTGCTTTCTTTGGTTGGTTGGTTGGTTTGTTTTGTTTTCAGTTTCTACAGAAGTTCATTAGGATTTTGATTTAATTGAATACCTGGCAATTAAATTACTCTTTATTAATGCCTTGGTACTTAATCTAGCTTTTCTGGTTTTGGAAAGAGATGCTAACAGCAGCTAGAATGTGAAAATAGATTTCTAGTGATTTTTTTCACTGGCTTGCATTATATCCTTTGATAAATTCTTTGACAAACTTCTGCTCCTTGCTTTATCTCCCTTCTTCCTCACATAACATGAAATTGCATCTGTTGCCTTAAATAAATTAACTTACTGTACTTTGTAACTTTGTACTTTTGTAGCTTTTGTAACTCGTTTTTCCTGCAGAACCACTTCCACGTGCATGTGAAGGCAAACAGTCTTGTTATAACTGACAATGACTGATACCATGTGGAACAGTCCTGCCCTCATTAGTCGATATTAGTCTTTTACCATTTTGTCTGTGATGCGTTGTTATCCATATTCACATACAAGATTTTAAAAGGAAAATGTCATCTAACCCAGACGATATTCTATTTCTGTGCAGATATCCTACACTTGTATAATTAATCTTTCAGAAGATGTAGCAATTGGTACAGAAGATGTAGTTTTAGAATTTTGGTCTGACTGAAGATACTTGACAGGTGACACCTGAATGGCAGAAATGTTACTTGAGAAGTGGTTTATTTGCTGCCTGCACTATATACTTCATATGATACTTCATCAGAACATTACCTGTTTTGTTCATAAAGTAACAGCTTTGTTTGCTTGTGCTATCAGATGTATATCTTTCTAGTCTTGAGTGATGACCAGCTTGCTTCCTTCCCATGCACATATACAGTACTTAAACACTAGGAGTTAAAGAATATAGTAACATGTAGCATTTTTTTCAAATTCCCTCAGTGGACCCACTGCTTAAAAAGACGTCTCAGACTTCTGGCCAGAGCTTAGGAAAAGTTTCTTATGCAGTACAGTACTATGTTTACCTTTTATGGCATCTCTGTGGCAATGACCCTAAATTCAGGTTGATATGATGAATAAGGTTTTGCTTTAATGTAGCTGTAGATTTTGTAAGAATTGTTTCCTTTACTAGTAATTTTTTTTTATGGGAATACTAAATACAGTGCAACATGCAGTAAAAGGTGTTTACTGTACAAGACATGCAGTCTGAAAAGCAAGACACAATTTTAGTAGAAGAGAAAACTGTATTTCTCTTACTTCGCAGAGAGATGACTCAAAGCATGAAGTTTCATGAGAACTCCTTTTTGAACATTTCATTTATGCCTAAAACGATTACCAAAACTTTAGTTCTAGTTCTTGTATGATTGACAAATGTTTTGATAGCGATTTATTACTAACAAAATTCAGGTGAGTGTTGCACAACTGTAATAGTTACAATAACCAGGAAAACTGGTCCTGACTTTTGAAAATTACTGACTAAATGCTAATTCAGATTGGGATTGTTTAGCATATATGGTAAGAAGCCTGAGGTATGTTCTGCCTAATTAAATACCACATCTGAAAATTTCAGTTCAAATTCCCTATGTTTAGAAAGAAATAATTAACTGAATTACTGTACCAGCATACACTTATATTATAGTAGAGATTCCTGGCTTTGATATTTTTCATCAGTACAAGTGATTTTTTATTTTTTTTTTCCCCCCCTATCAATTTTATTTTTTAGGCCAGTACATGGGCTGATTTTCCTCTTCAAGTGGCAGCCTGGAGAGGAACCAGCAGGTTCTGTTGTCCAGGATTCCAGACTGGATACAATATTTTTTGCTAAACAGGTAAGGCAAGTTCGGTATTTTTCTTAGATATGTCATGAAACATAGCTTTTAGTACTGAAAAATAAACTATATTTTTGTTAGTATGCATACAAAAATTAACATTTTACAAGATTAAATGACTTCAACAAATTCTGTGAGAGTAGGAACTGTGTATTAAAAGATGATTAACAAAGCAAATCAGTTTGATCTGTCAAGTCAGACAAAAATATCATCAGGTATGGAAGAGTAAAGCTCTTACTTATTTGTCAGCCCTCTCCCATAAGAGTGACTCGCTCGTCTGCGCAATAATTATGTGGTAAATGTTCTCAGCAGAATGAGCAAATTATTTTTTTGAAACCACTTTCAACAAATTCTAGGAAGAAATGTTTGGTTTGGTCTGGTTTTTATTTCTTGTGTTTCTCAAATGCTTTGCAGCCAGGGAAGTATAACTCTAGGATAATACTTTCCTTTAAGAATTTGCAGACCATTTTGGCATGGAAGTTTTAAGTATTTAAATCAGAAAAGTGAGTTTAAATGAGAAATTACAGGAAAAATTGGTTTTGCTTATGTAATCTGTTGTGTTTTATTAAATACCAAATAGTACTGAAATTTCGTGTTAGCTTTGCTTTGGCAGGCTGCTGTGCATATTGTTTGCAAGCAAGAGAGAGTAACCAGAATGAAAGTAGGAGTGTTTAATAAATGTTTTTAGCTCTTTTCAAGACCTGCTTCTCAAACAGTGATAAATGTAACAGTCCAAACAAGAAGTGTAACCCTACATGTATTAATTACAAAGCATTTATCTCAAAGGGCAAATTATTAGGCTTTCTATGAAGACTGACACATAGACTGGTTGTTGGTTTTGTGTTTTGGATTTTTTTGTTGGTTTGGGTGTTTTTTTCCCCCACAAGTGCAGAAGTGTTTTGTATGTAAATTTCAGGATATAAAGAAGTCTCCACACACTTGTAGCTAAAAATATAGAAATAGAAAACAATGGAAACATTAGGTATATCTATAGCTCTCCTGGCTACACTGTACATGTGCTTCTGTTTTGCAGATAATAATCTTTAATTTGTTTCTTTTATAATCACCCTGCTGTTACCTGCTATTGTAGATGACTTTATTTCTTGGTCTTTTTTAATACTGTTTTCTTCATTCTTCACCTTCTGCAGCTCTTGAATCCTGCCAAGCAGTGTCCACCATTCTCATGATACAATGATCAGCAGTAGTTTGCCAAATGTCTTTATAGTTTGATAGGGCTGATAGACATTGGTTTAGGTTGTGATTTCTACTTGATCAAGCATACTGTTAGTGATCAGTAGGCTGTGGCTACAGAGTAGCCTTGATGCAAAGAACCTCAGGGAAAATCCTTGATATAACTTTCGAAGGGTAGTTGTGTGGCAGGAGGAAACTATCCTGATAGGAATCTAGAGAGGTTTTTTTTAAGATGAAGGCAGATTTACCCTTACTCAAGGGATTTAATCTTTCTTGTTTCATGTGAGTAGATGAGGTTCTCC